GTTCTCCTTGAGGGACAGAAACGGAGAACCGACAAATGACCCAACAGTGGTATCTGAGGTTTACAGAGAACACTATGCGTGTCTATACTCAGCCCCAGCGTCTTCATCAAATCCACTCTTGTCAAGGCGAAATTGCGAACAGTCTCTAACCGACTTGGTCTTCACGGTGGAGAACATTCGACAGCTCTTGCTCCAGATCAACCCATTCTGCGCGTTGGGGCCCGACGTGGTCCATCCAAGGATCCAGAAACAAACGTCCTCCACAATGGCAAATCATCTACACATGGTGTTTCGCCAGTCGCTTGACAAAGGCCGCCTTCTTTCTGCTTGGAAGAAAGCGATTGTCACGCCAATCTATAAAACTGGTGACCGACTATCGCCTGGCAGCATGAGTCCTATGAGCCTCACTAGCGTGCCATGTAAGGTGATGGAACGCATTCGGAAGCGAGCCATCTTAGATCACCTCACTTCCAGCAACCTGATATCTCCAGCCCAACACGGATTTCTCCCAAATCGCTCTTGCGTGACAAACATGCTCGTCTTTATGGACAGCTCAACCCAAGCCAAGGACGAAGGACTCTCCTATCAGACAGATTATTCCGAGTGAGAATAGGCTCGACCTATTCCTCTCCAGCACCGGTCTCCATTGGAGTTCCTCAACGCTCCGTCCTGGGACCACTCCTGTTTCTGATCTATGTCAACGACCTCCCAGACGTTCTTGAGAGTCCATGTCTACTCTTTCCGGACGATCGAAATCCTATAGTTCCAATGTCAGTGCCCTCCAAATGGATGTAGACGCAGCAGAGGAGTGGTCGATGGACTAGCACCTTCCTCTGAATGATGAAAAGTGCGTCCATATGTCGTTTGGAGGGGATTGAGCGAATGCCTTTGTTATGCATAGTAAAAAGGGACCAGAAAACATCATGCGGATAGATGCCAAGAAGGATTTGGGCATCTGGGTCTCCTCAAACTTGTCCTTCTCACTGCACCATGAGAAATCGGCCCAAAAGGTATTCGCCATTTTGCGAATGATCCGACGCACCTTCTCCCGTATTACCCGCATGGACTTCCAAATAATCTATGGGGCCTACGTCATACCGCTCCTGGAATACGCCAACCAGGTTGTCTACTCAGGACGCACGAAAGACGTCACCCTCATTGAGCGTGTCCAGCGAGCCGCCACGAGAATGGTTGCCGGCCTCAAGTCCGTGGACTACGAAACGCGTCTCGCGATGCTTGATCTCTTTCCCCTGGAGTACCGTCGCCTCTGAGGGGACTCAATTTTTATCTATGCCCTGTTTGAACACAGCTTGGCAAACAGATTTTTCACCGTTGAACCAGCAAACACCCGGCGGGGACATAGTAAGAAAATTTTCAAGCTCATGGCATAAACCTTCATTAGACAAATTTTCTCTAATCTCGGGTAGTAGATGCGTGGAATGAACTTCCTCCGGCGGTTGTTCACGCTCCTTCTCGAACCCAGTTTAAAGCACTATTAGACATTTATTTATGCGAATCCTCGCGCTGGCAAGCATACTGCCCCGCGCTGAGAACATAAAAGGCAGTGCTACACCCTTTTTTCACTTGTGCCTTTCAGATGAACGACATTCACTGACCGACAACTACAAAACCGACCCGGAAAATAGGGGCAAAAGCCTCGATCCTGTGTATCAATCCGTGAATCCGTGAATCCGTGATATTTGAAGGCAAAACACCACTCATCAAATAGAATGAGAATGTGCGTTCTCCGGCAAGGTTGTCAACCATCTGGGAGCACCCAAACGTTTGCACCATGAACTATAAGTTAGGTAACATCTCATAAACGAGAGGTCCAGTCGAGTAACCCATGGAAACCAAACTGATTCGCAAATCACCTTACCTGTCAAATCACTTCAATTTGTTCTAGGAGGACATAATGTTGACGGAAACTCGAGGACTGCGTCTACCTGATTAGTCCAAAGCAGGGCGAAACCGGTCATGGACTGTCGAAGAGTTTTCAGCAACCTTCTGAACAGTTTCCCCTATTAAGAAAACGGAAGTTTGTTTCTGACCTACCAGAGCTCGGCAAACAGGCTGCTCGCTTTCTGACCAATCACCTGTGAGTCAGGCCTGTTGCTGCGGCAGCACTTTATGTATGGGCGGCAATGCGGTTTTGTCATAGGTCTCCGCCTAGAACGGAGAAGACGTGCTGGGGTGTAAACAAAGTTAAGAAGCAATTACATGTAGCTTAAATCGTTCATAGGCTTATATCAGTTAATAAGGGTATTGTGAAACAAGCTTCCACTCAATGACTGTGGCGAACCAAATACCGGGTAATTATAATTACCCGGTATAGATGGGTATCCGATACCACATGCTACACACACAGAGAGAGAGGTGCGCAACTATTTCTGGGTGATGGTTGAAGGCACACGAAGGCAAGAAGCTTGGAGAAGAAATGGTGCGTGCTTTAATAACAAGCTTGGGAAAAGCCTCGATACTGTGCAGTACTACAAGGAACGCGTATTCCTTGTATGTATGTTGTATGTTTGGTCGATGGGGTGCTGTTTTTGTGGCAGTCACGACCTAGTGCAAAGGAGGTTGTTCGCATCTAGAACCAGTTGTGTTATCTACCTTTAGTTTGTCTGTTTGCGCGTGAGACATCACCCATACACTTCTATTTAGTGTTTTGGACGAATAAGAGGAGTACCCTGGAGACAGGCTCGTATTAGGGCAGATTCAAGTCATTGATACAGGCATTCGACAACATTTCTGTCTTTTTGTTTGGTTTCTTGAGCATGAAGCTAATTCTCAAAACCTGGCACCCTGAATTATCCTTGCTACTAGAGAAGGGAATGTCCATATTTATTCGCGTGGGTGGACTGCATCAGGGCGACCCTCATTGCCCGATGTGCCCAACCACTCAATTAGTTTATTGTCCCCAAGCATGACATCAGATGTACAGGTTATCAAACTACCGTGAAGTTTTATTCTCGGCATGTGAATCATCCAACTCCAGCTACCATCTTTATCCAGTCTATGCTCAAAGTTCTAAAATGCTTGAGAACTGGTGGTCACAACTACTTCCTTGACTTCCGACCCCAGATTTCTTGCTTATTTAGTGCAGTGTCCTTTTTAGGAGCTACACGTGTATTCGCATAAAACTGCTCCTTCCTATTAGACGTTTTGTTCTTGTCCGGGCTGTTACCACGTCATATATGGTTATACCATGGTTTTCGTGGATATTATTAGTTCGCCACCAAAAGAGGTCAATCGGCGTGCTAATGATGCGTAACGTCGTAATTAACCCAGATACGAGAGTAAAAATTCATATATATATATATATATATATATATGAATTTTTACTCTCGTATCTGGGTTAATTACGACGTTACGCATCATTAGCACGCCGATTGACCTCTTTTGGTGGCGAACTAATAATATCCACGAAAACCATGGTATAACCATATATGACGTGGTAACAGCCCGGACAAGAACAAAACGTCTAATAGGAAGGAGCAGTTTTATGCGAATACACGTGTAGCTCCTAAAAAGGACACTGCACTAAATAAGCAAGAAATCTGGGGTCGGAAGTCAAGGAAGTAGTTGTGACCACCAGTTCTCAAGCATTTTAGAACTTTGAGCATAGACTGGATAAAGATGGTAGCTGGAGTTAATTTTCTCTGCAAAAATGGTGTCCAGCAATGATATCCACTCTCTTTGTTCTTCTCAAGCCTTTTTCCATGAAGTATTGGGGCGAAAGCTGGAAGGTGTTCAAATAGTTTCTGGCGACATCTTTGTTGATCTAGAGTATGTAGACGACATCGTTCTCATCTCTAAAGACAACGGCGAAGCCGAAGCTCTGTTGAATAAACTGGCCACTACCACACCATCTTTTGGCCTCTGTCTTTCACCTATATTGTTTAAAACCAGCTTCAGGATATCCAACCTTAAAGCATGTCCACTGCATTTCAGTGAGAACCATTGAAGATTGTGGAGAAGTATACTTACCTCGGTAGTTGTGTTAGCTCTGACTGAAGTGTGTCGGAGGAAATGAAGACACAAATCTCAAAGCCCCGCATCATGTTCCCTAGAGTGTGCGTCAATTGTGGCATATCACTGGATCCCAAGGGCCGTGTTTACTGGGCTACAGCAAGCAGCGTATGGTTTTATTGTTTCGATAAATGATCTCTGCGGACAGATAATGTGAGTCATCATGTTTTTGAGCACGAATGTTTCTGAAGGGTTTCTGGTGTCGGATGGCGCTCACGAATTCTTACCGAGGTGATTGGAGAACGGATATTTGCTGGCGCAACTAGTATTCCAATCACAAGGAACATCCAGAGACATCAGCCGTGATGCGTGGGCCATGTGTTGCGCATGCCGAAACGTCGTCTTTCAAGATAATTGTTGTGCACTGTGCCTCCGCCGTAATGACACAAACCTCGTGGTAAACACTTGACTTGGCAGAGAGGCCTGATAGAGATTACGAAGATTTTAAGTGCTGTCAGTTTCTTTTCGGGTTATCTGATTGAGTGCTTGGAGGTGGAGGCACCTTAGAATGCTTGCAATAGACTATGTCCAAGTTCTTCCCTCCCCCTCTTTTCTTTTCACTTCAAAACTTCTAATATGATTAAAGAATTGAAAAATATGGTTAAATAAACATTTTGTTTGCATGGCATTGAAGCATCACCCTGTCCTTGTTTGTTGTTATTGTTGTTGCTGCATAAAAGCAGCTTTTGTTCTGCACATGCTTGCAGCTGGAGTTCATGGTTGTGCAACATACATGTTCCAGCCCAAGACGACCACTAATTGAACCCCAGCAGTGCCAACTCCACCTGTTCGCATGTTCGCACCCCGGTTTAGATATCCGGGCTCTGAGGCTGTCGTAATTAGGTGTTCCTTTTGAGCACTTTAGCTATAGCCTGTTGAGGCTTATGTAGATACAGTAAAAAGCTGACAGCCATATTTGTGTTTACTGAAAGGTTTCGGACAAACTAACCGCATGCAGGTGATCTATCAAATAGAGCTTCTGTTTGATGGAGTCGGGCAATATCAACCTGGCGGTTCCACACGCAATGTCGCCGGGTTTCCAGAAGTTTATAACAGGGAGAGTGGAGACCTATAGAGAGTACATGTCAACGGATTTACTCGGATATTCTGTAAAGAGAGAATTCGAACTGTGTTGCCGTCGTGCTAACCTCTACCTTGAAACAAACTGTTTCTCTGACGAGTTTGCTGTGACGGCATTCTACTCAACTCAGTGAATCTTGAGGGGTAATTGAGGGTCCGAGCTGTACTTGGACATAAATTGAAACGCTTCTGTGCAGAGTGCTAGAGCAGAAGTTATTTCATTTCGGAGTGACTATTTCTATGATAGTGATGATCGACTGAACGATTCGCATTACTCTGTCGTGGTGTCATAACTTCTTGGAGTAGTCTGTTGTGGGACGCAGTTGCAGTGCAGAGCACGGCTTCAAGTGAACATGTTCGAGGACCGGTGGAGGTTATCTTCAGTGCCGTATATTCTCATAAGGAGGCGGTTTGTCACAGAGACTGACTTCTTGAGGACGTCTGAAGAATGATTCATCCTTCAAAGAATCTGCTTCTATGTTGAGTGACAGAACAGGTTACTGATTTGGTGAACTGCGCTGAAAGCTCCATTGCGCGCACCCGTTCGATGAATGACGTCGGTCCAGATGAGGTCAGGCCATGTGAAGCCGTGATCTTGCAGTGTATTTCCAAGGTTTCATGCCGTAAAAACGACCCTATCGTCTCTGGTAGAGTGCACCGCAAAGGACTGCTTTGGGTGAGAAAGATTAGTTAACCACTTCGTGTGCAACTTTCAGCCACTTAGTTGTAACTCGCGATGGAAAATCGTCATTTACCTCGCATTGATACGAACGAGTTGCTACCCCCGTCAGCCTTTTCCCTCTCGGAAGTATCACACAATGGTACTAATAATCCAGTTCACGGCGCAATACATCCACCTACCGATGACAGTTCAGTCGGATTTCAGGAATTCAGTGATTCGCGATTCGGTGTGAAGTAAGTTTGTTTTTGGCATGTTAAAACTTCTGCATTACCTGTGTACTTATTCAAACCGTTGCTCACTAAATAACCGGATTTTTGTTGTGTAGTTTGTGCATCCGGCGCATCAGTGACGTCGGTTCACACGAACATATTATTGTATTGTGTCGCAAGTAGCTGAGGTATCTCAGCCGACCGTGAGCTTAAAAGTTAAAGACACTATTTTAGCATCCATTCAAATCTGAATCCCTCTGATGTCCTCTTTATTTCCACTTTTGGCTTTTTTATCCAAGTTCCCAATAAGTTAGCCTCACACACTCCCACCTGCTTGATAGTTCCCTGTGGAAAAATCGTCCAGCTATGCTTAGCTGCCACACCACCCGAAGGAAACACTAGGACTGGAATACTGCCAAGTTGCCCAAGTCTAGACAGGGAGTTTCCTGTAGCCGCAATCATTGAGCAAAATGATTCGTTCCTGGCGGAAAACAAGAATTTATAACTATTAGTGCTATAACTACTATTACTATCAACTAGTATAACTATTGGTACGAGTCGTTTTTATACACCACTAAATCCCGAAATAACCGCGGCCGTTTGGCCACATGGTGCCCTTCAGCAGCGTACCAACCTCGCACTCGAATTGATTGCATCCTTATCAGTTACCGATGGCTTGGTTGGATCAGTCACTAACAGCCACTCATTTTAGAACACATTTGTGAATTAATACCATGCGTTCATCCGGGATGGCTTCTCTTTTCGTCTTCCCGGGCCGCGTAATTTGCGGTCAAATTGATCAGTAACTGGGATACTGGCGGATCCCGAAGTTAGACTAATTTATCCGAGTAGTCTTTTGAACCCTCATTTAACTGTTCCACCGTCGGATATGAATTCATGCTGGAAAGAGCTTGCCACATTTTTGCCTGTGGCACGGTGTTACCAGGTTCACTAAAGCACTGGACATCAAACGTAACAATGACATTCTGAATCCTGGACAAAGGTTCCTGTGGGCCCCGAAAGTGATTTTGCTTGACGAGTTGTTAAACGTCAAGTAAAAGTTAACCTACGCGTCGATCGCACACAGTTCTAAGGAAATGGAAAAGGACCATATAGCCGGGAATGCCCGAAAATTGGGGGGTCGTAGTAGCTAACTTCCGGTGGTGAGGCGATGAATCCCTCTGAGCAGTCGTTCGTTACGTTGGCCTCTTTGATAGTGGAATTATGATTCTTGCACTGTATCCAACTTTCAAGTTAGGTTTCAACATCCTTGGGTCGGTTCTCTGGGGGAAATAATGTGACTTAATTCTGATCTTTACGTCAAAAGAAGATCTTACCTATAAAGAATCAAGCTATTTAAGCTAATGACAAGTTTGTCTATCTTTTGCGTGTTTTTCCTTGTTCTCTTCCTGCTCCGTCAGTCTTGCACCAGGGGACTTGCTTCTCCGACTACAAGCAGCAGAAGAGCGTGTCAATGAACTTGAACTTGCTCTGCGAAATACTCGGAATGAAACTCTCCAGATGCAGCGTTTACGGGATGAGGCGGTCACCGAACTTCAACGTATGAGGTCATACATAGGTTCACGGAACTCCTCCGGTAGTCAAGGTGACGTCACACCGGAAAAGGAAGCCTTGACAACTACTATTAACAGGTTGAAAAAAGAGGTTTGTTTGATTGCCATTCTTATTTAATGTTTTTAACGTTGAATGGATTTATCACCTTGAATGAATGAAAATTTCTGCCGTAGCAATTGAAAGCATATTACTGATCTTACCATAGTAACCCCTTTACGAGGGGCTCGTCAGAAGTCGTCTTATTGGAGAGCCTTCGACAGCGATTTCCGGTACGCAACGTAGTGTGTGATCAAAGAGAAGTCAAATGCCCCTCTAAAACACTGTTGTATATGCTCTGTCGCATATCATTTGGCCGGAGCATGCACTGTTCCTTCACGTATCCTCATGATAAATCTCTTTCAACGATTAGCAGAGGCAGTCGTCAGTGAGAAATGTCACTGCTACATCGGCTGTTCACCCGAGATAATTGGGACTCACTGATAATGTTCCAGACTGCTGTAGTTCGTGCATCCAGATAGTCTTGCTACTTCTAATCAACCGGTGTTACGTGTTTCCTGTTGCATGACTGCGTATGTGGATGTGGCTACTAACTTGGATTCGTTGAATTCCTGTCCAAAAGGGTTCAGTTTTCCCCTGTCTATGGTCTTGTCCTGTCGTTCCTTTGTTTCAGTGTTCGAAATTGGAGGATAGGAACATCACGCTTCAGCAGCAGTTGGATCTTTCGCTAGTGCGTGTTGAAAGTCTGGAGGCTGTTTTGCGTTTACAAGAGAAAGCTTTGTGCCACAATATCAGTAATCAGACGGGTAAAGGATCGGCGTAAGTGCTCCCATCTATTATAATGTCTGTTTGTCGCCAATGAATAACTAGCATGCAAGGAAGTTCGTGTAACAGGAACGAATTTTTATTCCACCTCTGGACCACCGTAATTTTCTGTCACAACATGTGTGCTCAATTACTTGTAACGATGGTCTCTTTCTAACGGGTTTGAGTAGCAAATAGAAAAACCAACGTTTTCTGCTCCACCTGATCCTGATCCTCTGGATCATGAACGAATATGTTTGCTTGCCGTAATTGTTGTAGAAGTCGGTCGCGCCATCATCAAGTGATTAGTGCGTACTGTTTTCAAAATATTGCTCATTGTCTGTCTTTGTAATGTACTACTCATAAGGTTGCTGGAAATCCGTCGACAGCCCACAACCGGTTTCGCCATCTTTCGGGCTCATCAGGTAGGCGCAGGCCCCAGGTTTCCGTCAACCTTATGTTCTACTTGAAACCAAGTTGAACGAAATTAACGAATATACACTCATTTGCAAACTAAGTTGGTTTTTTGAGAGACTCACCTGGACCCCAGCTGAATCTCTCGTTTGTGATGTTCTCAGGCAACAGAATGTGCTGCACCAAATTAGTTTGCAAATGAGTGTATATTCGCTAATTTCGTGCAATTTGGTTTCAAGTAGAACATAAAGTTGAGGAAACCTGGGGACCGCGCCTACCTAATGAGCCCCAAAAAGGGTGAAACCGTTCGTGGGTTATTGACGGATTTTCAGCAGCCTTATGAGTAGTACATTACAAAGATAAACATGTATCGCGATATCTCGAATACCGTAGCGACTGAAACATGAGGTGGCCTGGTGCAGCACATTCAGTTGCCTGAGATAATCACAAACGAAAGTTTCAGCTGGGTTCCAGGTGAGTCTCTCGAAAAACCAACTGGGTTTGCAAATGAGTGTATATTTGCTCATTGCCGTTGCGTAGTTGTTTAGAGGTCAAAACAACTGCGAATATAGAAAAGCCCGCTCAAATCTCCCTTTAGATCGCACCAAGAAGAATGGCATTGTAAAGAGAGAAGGTCGATTAAACGGCATCTTCGAGTCTTATATGTGAATTTCCATGCACCTGCAATTGACTTATCATGAACATATCACATGTACTATCAGCAACCAGTTTGACGTTGGGAAGTAAATTAATCTAATTAATCTCGTATTTTGACCTTTCTCATCAACAGAGACGAATCTAAATATGATCAGCTGCTTTGCATGTGGCGCACCCAAACAATTCGTTTGCTTATGCAGGTGGAAGAATACAAGGCAGACAGAGAACATGCCCTGGCTAGACTAGCCCGTAAGGAGGCACAATTGGAGAAGATACGCCTATCCGCTCAGACCGATCAGGAAACCATGCAGCTTAAACTTCAAGCCAGCGAAGCAGCCTTTGCCTCGGAAACGAAGCAAACACAAGTAGGCACTCAGCTTTGTTTTTCTAGTTTGTCCTTAATCTTTTAACAGACGCAGTGCTTCTTGCCCCATTTAGTTTATTTAGGCACGGTAATGCATGCTTGGATACTGTGCATGAGTCCAATATCGTGTAGCACAGTCTGACACTGGGGTGGAATTAATTGTCGCCCCCCCCCATTCATAGTGTAAACTCTATTATCTGCTAACAGTACGCCTACGAAGGGCACATAGCCCATTATTCACTGATATGCACTTGGTCGTGGATTGAACGTTCGTTCGAAAATTTGAGCTGTTGTTCCTTTGTTCACCTGCAAGATAACCTGCCGCTATGTTGTCATACCAGAAAATGTAAACTTTCAAGTTACAGCTTATTCTGTTTGTCAAGATAGGTCTAACGTATGTTCGTCGTCCTAATCCAAGTCCAAGTGACTGCATGAATTCAAACATACACAATGAGAACCGAAATTGGAACCATCAGGATGGTCTGGCTCATCAGCCGTATTCCTTGATCCCTCGACCATCAGTATGAAGTGACCTGACCAACAAAGAAACCCGTGGTGATCTGTGTTCATAGGTGTTAAGCACCCTCGCTAAACAGTTGTCATCTCATCCGTGGTTTTAAGCTTGTAGAGCGTCTTCCGCAGCCAACTTCGTTTAAACTTGCGTTAATATTACGTTGTCGTCCATTTCGATGTTCCAACTATGTGGAATTTTCACTCGGCAGTTTTCCAAATACCGGTAACCAGTCATGTCAGTATTCTGTCTTCCATCCTGCCATTCTTGGAGTTGACGAGATTTTCGGCAGTGTTCAAATGAAGTTGTCTGTGCAGTGGGATTGGGGAGTTTCCTTGGTTCACTGTGGTGGTGAGGATAGTCCCGGAGTTTCCTTGGTGGTGCACTACTGATACGGTTGCTGAAAACCTTTCGACAGTCCACCACCAGTTTTGCCCTTGGAGCCCATCAGATAGGCGCCGTTCCCGAGTTTCCGTCAACCCTATATTCAAATTAAACCTGGTCTATTCACAATCCGCTAAATGCACTCATTTGCCAACTATTTAGTTCTTTGCGAGGGATGATCGACTGAACTATGCCCTATTCCTCGGTGTGCATGAAGAACCGTACACTTCATCCGTAAGGGCAAGATGAACTCGCGTATTTGCATCAGCTTTATTCTTAACCAGGTAGACTGGTAAAATTGGCCTTGTCAGTCAATCAGACTCTTATTTACTGTCCATCTATTTCATTCGCTTGACTAGTCGACCGAAAGATGCTGTTTACGCACTGCTTATCTTCTTTCCACCTACAATCAAGACAAGTTTTGCATCCACGAGGACTCTCAGTGCATCAAGATTTGACACATTAGAAATCATGTGATCATTGAAGTGATACCGGTGTTAGCACTATGAAAATCTGGCGAGCAACTAATTCCAGCACAGTGAAGGACTAAATATTATTTGTCTGCACTAGAATTACTGAAAGCACCGAACTGTGCACGAAATCACGAAGGCTGCCGATGATCATCTTCCGCGACTCAAAGTTGCCCCCACCCCGTGAATGCTCTGTACTCCCATAACAATGACATATAGAATCGGCTTTCCGAATTCTACCCGTGTGACGATATCAGTTTGAAGGGAAGCTTCTCATGCGAACAAAAACACATCAGTGACTTACGGAAGCAATTATCTATGCCACTTTAGCGATCACCTTAGGTAGAACTAAGTCTCTTGTGAGTATCCGTTAACCGGTCAACAGATAAATAGAAACCGAAATAACCGTTCAGCTGCAACTTCCTTTCGACCCCTAGGTACAATGCCAATCGAAGGAAGCACGGGCGCTGAGATACTGCCAGGTTAATCAAACCAGGGTTAGGTTCGAATCACGGAGCTTATGATCAGTAAATTCGCGCTCTAACCACTCAACTATCAATACCTTACCAATCAACAATGGTATCTTACTCTTATTTCAGACGCTTGTTGCCAAATTAGAGCATGAATCTCTGCGTTATCGTAATCTGGAGGCAGAGCACAAAATACTGCAACAGAAGTGCACGGCCTCACTTACTACTCTTCGGGCGCAGAGTGAACGTTTATTACATTCCATCCAGTCATGCTTCCCCACGAAACCGCACTTAACAAGCCAGGCAGCAGACAATCCGTCCCTCTTGCGAATTTTACAACGCATCAGACAATTAGAATGTCGGCTCAACTTCGCTTCAAACAGGCTCCCTCTGCTACGAACTCATATGGCGCATCGATGGTGTATACCACCAGGTCGATCTAATCAAGGCACACAAACCGGACCGAGTGACACAGATCTGCTTAGCGGTGTTTCACAAATGGAGTTGAATGAGTAATCATCCATTTTTCTTTCCTATGATTGTGTTGCACCAGCAACCCCTTACCTTCCGTAGATTTTGATCTTTCGAGAGTACCTTTCGGGGATTTGATTGGTTGAACTACATTATCCCAACCATTGAGTGTCCTGCTCTGAGTTCGTCCGATAAACGGATTTTATTCGATGCGATTGCACACACAATACCCGAAATCGTTTTGCGCAATAATTTCATCGTTTATAAACTATGAAGCCGTTGTCTGAAACATAGTATGACCTCTGACGTGATCGCCAACGATATTGGTGTGAAATGGTTGCCCAACAGTATGCTGGTCGAGTGTCCTTCTTAATTTAGCATTTGTAAGCCAATTTGGATGTATCTTAGAACCATACTTACATGTGTTCCTTCATTTTGGTAAATAGGCAATGTTGGTGTAGATTGATCCACCTGAGGTTTATCACCGGTCGTTCGGCGTCCAATTCTCTAATGCTAGTAAATTGGTTGAACTCACCAAAAAAAATCAGACGTTGTAAAGCGATCATCTTTGTAGTGGAGGATTCGTTGAACAATCGAAATAAATCATCTAGCGAAGTACACTTATTTGCACAGTAATTTGGCTTAAGCGGGAGAATTAGCTGAATTTAGCTGAAGTTCTCGTTTATGATGCGTCGCGAATTACTCACATTTTGGCTTCAAATGAAAGGTAAAATTGATAGAAACTCCGGGACAACGTCTATCTGGTGAGCCCCAAGAAGAAGTAAAACGGCAGTGGGGTGTCGAGGGGCTTTCTTCAACTGTGTGAATAGTATGTTCCGTCCAGAAACTACGAACCATTTCGTTACTACCAAGTGTGGATTAAAGTTTCCACTGAAATTTTGACCTCTGAAACCCAAGTCGAACTAATTTCACTTTTGGCCTTTTCGAAATTTGTGTAACAATAACGACTCAACTAATGGCTAATAGCCGCGCTCACGACGACCGGGAATATATTTCCACTAATAATGGCTTTTATCATCCCAAGACTCGATGCAATTCTTCCGTCCAAACAAATCATAGTGCTGACCAGTGTCTGGGCGGGGAGTATGTCTGTATATGTTTTTCTGTACTGAACACAATGAGAATCTGTAGAAACCTCGCGTCATACTTCCAGCACCCTTTCGGCGCATTACTGCTACGGGACCTGTAGGAAGCCCGAGAGCTGAGTAACGACAGATTGTTCAACCCCAGACTGGAGTAGTTGGAATATAAATTGTGACTTGGAAGCCCAAACTCTATAGTCAAAGGCTTTCGCATCAGGCATCAAATTAGTGGATGTCATGTATCACGATAATTTGGAGAAATTGGCATTGCTTACTTATCTCCAGTTTTCACGATGTACCTTCAAAAAGCGCGTCTCCTGGTTAGTTGTTCGAAAACTAGACTTTGTCTCACAAATCGATCGACTCATCACAAAAACACGTTTGTAACTTCCTCGTACCTGAACACCTCATTTTTCTGTAGGTCATCACTTTAGCTTGTATCAACTGTACCATAGTTTGATAGAGCTGAAGATTCAGCCTCTAGTTAATTGCAAGCTGCTCCCATGACGATAAAATGTTTGATTGATGTTTCTTAAAGGCTTTTGAAATTCGCTCAGAATGAGGCAAGACAATGTCGTGCTGAACGAGATGTCGCTCTCAGCAAGCTCGAGCAAAGCGCCAAATGCTTTCACCAGCGCGTGCAAGCGGCTCAAGACGAGGGTAAGTTGGGTCAGATGGATCTCCATAGTGTTTGACCGGGAGGATAATCCCACAAAACGTCATGGTTTCATCCTTCGATAAGTTGTATTGACGCAAAAACATTGCAGTCATCACACTTTCTGATGTTAGTTTTTGAGGCTATCCGTTCGAATATTGGCCCATAAAACTCTGATCTCAGCAACGCTAACTTCTCAACTTTACTTGAGCCTTACCAAGGTTACTAAATAAGAGTACGTTTTGATACTCCTTTTGGATTTTACTTTTTTTTCTGGTCATGCACTCACAAGTTAAGTTGGTGTTAGTGAGAGTCGTGAGCAGCGCGTACTTGATGAACCCCAAGAAGGACGAAACCGGTAGTAAACTGTTGAAGCGTTTTCATCAACCTTATAAGTACTGAAATGTCGAGGAAAATAATTCATTTTGATTGCACACTGAGGAATTAGCGTGTGGACAACAAATTTCTATCAGGAACTCAAGGGAATTTGGATACTCTGCCCACTCACGATCTTTTTAGAGAATCTGATAACCTAATAGTCTTGGCGACGAGCAGTTATTCGTGGAAAGCAATCAGCCACGCGTGTTATCCTAAATGGAAAGTATCTTATCTGTGATAAGCTGCCGACCAAAGAAACAGGTGGCTGATCCTGCTATGCTCACCTGATACGTTGCAATGATGTAATACGTACAATGGTATATGGTGAGTCCTCAAACAATCAGCTGTTCCGAACAAGTGAGGAGCAGTAGCCCATTCACACGCTACTCTACCAATTGCATCAACCGGTCTAACCAACTAGTATTTACCGCTTTGTTTACTACGATATTTATTCAAAAGTGGTGTCATCTCGTGTGAGCGCGTCCTTCGTAATTGGGTGACGTTTCTCAACATTGTTTAATATCTGCTGAGATGCAGGTGTACACCAACAGACATGACTAATTGACTAAAGAGGCAGTTTAAGGCTTTTAGCAGAGACAAACCAAACTTTTGCATTCACCTTCACCTAAGAAGTGGTCTTTCTGATGAGTACCTAGTCTGTAATTTCCATTGGTAAGTGAAAAGTGTTACTTCTGCGCTGTAGTGGCACATATTCGGTACGGCTCATGTTGGTGAGGTCTACTGACGACCGAGTTATTCGTCAAGCTCACTGGACAAGATCGTCTTGTTTTTTTCTTCGGAACGCCTTAGTCATTTGAACCACAGGTCTCGTAACTAGCCTACCAAGAGCTCATAAGTAGCTCTGCATATTAGCTCCTTACAAGGAGCGGTTAGTGGTTAGCCACTATATATAGTGTCGCCTGTTCCGAATAGTCTGGATTCCACTGGGAAAGGCGTTTCCCCTTGTGTAGACAGCATATGGTAACACGTGGTCTGCAATGGACTTGTCCTCATAATTATTGTCAAGGGAAGTCGGTTTTTAGGCTATAGAACCTGGTTATCAGTATCAATACCTCGTTCCTTGTGTTATAGACTAACTGTTGAGAGTCGCAACCCTACCTAACGAGTGAAGGAAAGCTATTTCCAGTAGTCTATACCAACTACACAAGACCCCTGTTATGCCATATATGTAGTGTTTCGTGTTGTTTAAGCCGATGGCGGTGACCGGTGTGTGGTGACAGGTCTGTTGAGGTCAACTGAAAGCAAAATGGCCGATAAGTATGTGATTGACTGTGCCCGCATCAACCACTGAAGTGTGTCTAATTGGGATCGGGCTTAACCGTGAGCGCGTTAGTCACGCAAACTTCCGCTCGTGGAGATTTAGACCAGAAAAGCCAATGTGTTGCGCCGACTGACTCATCGAGTAGTGCTTTTCTCGGTTGATGTGCGGGTTTGTCTTCTCTTATGGCTCTACTCGAAGTAATATAATTAGAGTCCGGACATCAGTCATTGGTGGAACCAAGTCACATCGCCCGCACCAGATCTATCGCTTGTTCTTTATCTTATTTCCTCTGTAGGGGATTCTGTGGTTGTATGCCAACAAAGCATCTGTGTCAATACTGGTTTTGCTAAGGGATACTGCTGTATGTATCCTGGAGACCATTTTTCAACGACCTTGTTGTTTTTGCAATGTACTACTCATAAGGTTGCTGAAAATCCATCGACAGCCCACAACCGGTTTCGCCCTTCTTGGAGCTCATCAGGTAGGCGCAGTCCCCGGGTTTCCGTCAACCTTATGTTGTAATTGAAACCAAATTGCACGAAATTAGCGAATATACACTCATTTGCAAACTAATTTGGTTCTTTCGAGAGACTCATCTGGAACCCAGCTGATCTCTCGTTTATGATGTTCTCAGACCTTGTTGTTTGTTTTCCGATTGTGTTTTGTGAAATTGGGCTGGCGGTTGAAGCTGTTCTTCATATTTCCTAACTAATACCCTTTTGGGTATCTATCAACTTGCGTTTCATCGTGGAGAATGTCGATATTCTTCGGCTGGTAATTCATCAGCATTCAGCATGGCGAATCAATCGAAGTTCAGGCAAATGTGTGGCATAGCGAAACGTCTGTGGTTTCTTTTGTTCTTAAATACCTGGTAATCGAGCGTTCGAATGCATAGCTGTCAGTACCAGGTTTCACCTTCCTTGGTATACGGTAAGAACGTTATTGGCGTAGAAAACCGATTTTGTCTGTGAGAATATGGTCCATGTTTATTATGCAGATTCTAGTATTTATAGACCAGGTGTTTACTATTGCCTTCAGCCCTGATACTACTTTTTGTCTCTTATTCAATGGAAGAACCAATGGTTAGAACCAATCAGCTGAAACTGTAGGGTCATCCATAGCTGATCCGATAGGTATCCCGAGTGATCGGGGCAGGATTTTAACGTTCATGAATGTCCATATTTCGGCATCTATCAAATCAATATATGCGAACGCCTTTCCTGTCGGAACAGCAGTAGTCAGTGCAGTACCTATCCCCGGGCTCCTATCATTTCCAGAGTGGACATGCACTATTTTATTGGGTGGAGTTGAAAACCCCCAATCCAGCAATTCGAGTTACTAGGAGACGCGGTATCTCCAAATATATCACGCGCATACAACAGTCTGTAAGAAGGAACCCTCAAAAGATAAGTAGTTCCACTAGGGTACACACAATAGCCAGCCAAATACCTGATTTATGCGTTACAACCACGCTTCAGCAGAGTACTCCACCTAAAGTGGTATCTCCGCTTGAATTGTTACCTCAGGAATTCACATTCACAACAATAAGAAGTGTAAACGTTGCTTCACTAGGCATTTATCTCTCTGTTCATGTATAAAAGAGGTCAGTGTGCAAGTTCTTGTTCTTGTTTTGCTTCCAGCCCCCCCCCCCGCAATTTCTCATTTAGCCAAAGTAGTGAATCACATATGTTCACAGATCGCTATACGTTAGTAGGCTCCGTTTGCCCCTCATCGTACTGTGATATCCATCTGGCGGAGTTGAACTCCTCACTTGTCAAAATATGTTAAGAAGGGGGAATTTATGCTGTTTGGCTTAGTTGTGTGCCTCTATGTATACATTTATCCCAGGTGGTTTCATAAGCCCGGATTTGGGGTCTTTTACAGCTTCTTTAATATGTTTCTCCTCTAGTCAAGACGGAACTTTGTACACTTCGTGAATCGGTTCGCATGCTTGAGGTTTCTTTACAAGAGAAAACGGAGGTGAGTGACCTATGCCGTGCATGTTCTCGTTCGCCGTTTACTTTGGTCCTTGTTTCGAAAGGCTTTCTTCTTTGCACCAAGAATCCGTTGTTCGTGTTGGCAACACAACATCAAGAGTTTTCCCACCGAATTGAGAGTAGTTGACACTCCGGATAGCCAACCGTAGCCCACGTTTTAACCAATCCAGGTTTACATTAGTTCATTCATCTAAGGGCTGCCGCTACGAGCATCCTGTAAAACGTAAGTGGGGCTTTAGTGCGCCCACAGGCAAATACAACCACCGTTCATGGATATTTTCTAGTATGCTCAACCGTGCTCAAGTAGTACGGTCGCTCATATCCTCCACGGAACCCGGCTAGTTCTCTAAGCTCCTGGTACATATAAGAGACAGAGCCTGACCTATACCTGGCTCTACGGTTTACTGGCTTTGAAGAAATCCTGACTGTCGACTTAATAATAATAATAATAATAATAATAATAATCGTTCAGCTGTAGCACCCTTTCGGTGCCTGGCTGCCATGTCACCCGAAGGTTGCGCGAGGGCTGGGATACTGCCCAAGTCTAGACAGAAGTCGAGAGGCAGAGATCGGGTTCGAACCACGGACATTACGGTCAGTAAATTCGCGCTCTAACCACTTCGGCCATCTTGCCCCTGTCGACTTAAAGTTCCCCAGCAAAATTTTTCAGGGGACACTATACCTTGTATTTTATTTTCATATTTTTGATAGTCTATCATTTTTCATCTATGCACATTTGACTTAATTTTATCTCGCGGTTCAGGAACTGTCTCGATGCAAATCAGGCTTCAACGACCTGAGATCCAGTTACGCAGAATTACAGAAGTCTGCAGAGGCGGAACGGAGGGAACTCCAAGCCAAGATCAGTGAATCGGAAGATCAACTTACCAAAGCGAAAGCCGAGCTTCGCAAAGCCAAACGTTGCCTCGATCTTGAATTAAAGAGACACAAAATCCGGGTTAGTGGACGGTATATTTATCAGGGCTTTATTGGAGAAAATGAGCGCAATTTTGTGACAATGAATCACCACGATTTGTGCCTTGTTTTGGTTTCTCTCATCAATCGGTTTCGTTTTCATACTTTCCAAGTTTATTCTACCGCATTCAGCTAGGTATGACGCACCAACATGGGCGCTAAACAGGCTATTGCGTCCAAATTTTGGTGGTCCATCTTCACAAACTAAAGGATAATCTGAGCAAATCAGTCACCGCGCCAATCCTGTTTGGTTTTCCTGTATTCTCCATAGAGTTTGAGAATTCCGCCAGTTCATCTGAAGGGGACTATTTTGTTTAGCATGGAAACTAAATCCGTACTCAAAATAGATTGGTTAGACGTTAGACAAAATGTTTTCGATTCATACTGTACCTGCTGACTTTTGCAGCCACTGTTATTAGTCAGAATTATTTGTTCTTCACAACCGACGTCAATGTTTGCATAGCTAGAAAGTCAGTCTTCTGCACCGATTTCTCCCCTGGAACTTCGAGAGCTTCCAATTGGAGGTTTTCAATGAGGCTGATGTTACCCTCCTCTTCGCGAGGGTATTTTCCACCCTTGACTGGACGGCTGGACTCAGGATAGTGTTGAAGCTGCTGGCCTACGAAAACCTCATCCCGTTATTTTCAATAACTTACGAGGTTCTGTGGTGTCAACCGTCTTACGATTAGGCAATTCCATACCCTAGGATTACTGGGTGGTAAGCCGTGCTTGTCATTTCATCCGTCCGGATGTGCCTATTGCGCAACACATCTGTTCCTTCAGCTTCGCCAACCTGTAAAATAATGGACCAGCATACCCCTTGTATACTATCGTTCTACAACTAGAGCGGGTAACGGTGAGATTTGCCGTTAGGTGGAAAGTATTCTATTTCGAATGATCTACGCAGGTCACTTCTCTGACTCATACCTCACCATGGTCATAGTGAACTGCATTTTGATTAGCCCGACCACATTTTTAGCTAATATCATTCAGCAGTTGCCTTTAATATTTCTTCCGTCTTCCTAGATAGGAACGATTGCTGTAGAGACGAACCAGCTATATTTTTCACGCAGTCTGTAGGTGTCTCCAAGACGAACAGGGTATTGCAACGAGAGGCCTGTTTGATAACAAGTAGGACTTTGGGTGATACTGTATCCAGCGAGTCCTTTGGTAGAGCAGTCGACGTGTAACTGTGTTTTAACTGGTTTTAGGTCGGAAGGGAAAGAATATCACAAATGAGGAGGCAAATTTGAACCATCGATTTTGATAGGCACTTCGAAAGCGATTAGTAATTTTGAATACCTTTTCTGTGTCTGTCCCGTCCTGTGCTTTTGAGCCAAATTTCAGACCTGCACTTCTCGTCCGACAGTATAACCGCGAAACAGGTCCTTTTTTCCACCGACATAGTGGGTTATGGGTGCTTTGCCTAATTCAGGGACATAGGAGGTAGATGCGTTTGGAGCCGCATCGTGATCTCGACAAGTTTCTACAGGAGGTTGACCGTCATCCTGTGGTTGTAACCAACTGATTTGGAATGACCTATATATTCTATGGAGGAAGGTAGCATCGTGTTTCCCTTCGATGTGGGGTGCTGGTCACCTACTGTCTTCACAATCCTACTGCAATGGATCTTACTACAAAGCAATTCGCTTTGTCTGAACAAAGAACAACTAAAGTGGTGACGGATTTGCAGACCCCAACATGAAGTTCTTGTTCACACTGAATCGATTAGACTGTTACTTTTCCCACACTCTTTCTTGAATTCGCATTTTTGGTGGATAAATTTTATTGTCTCCAGATTCCCGAACCGCGGTGTGCTTTTGAAGCGTCCAGCCGAACTCCCGAGAGCACCATAAAGCCTACGATTCCTTTTCAACCTAGACAAACAAGCTCCAACGAAACCTCACTGAATATGAACCAAATGGGTAAGAGGTGACATGCTTTTTCTGATTTTTCCCATTTTTTACCTGTAAAACACGGTGCTTCCGTCTCCTCCGTACTGGCCATGAATATCGGTGCGAGGGAAAGCAATTCTTAATTGGTATTGGAATCAACGTTTCAAAAAGCCTCTTGTATCCAAGGCTGTTTGATCAGCAATATAAATAAACTGGACAATACCTGCGGCCTCCATCAGCCTACAATCTCCCGACCTATCGGTGTTAGGCAGCTCTTCAGGTGTCTTGAAACAGTTTTCTAACCATGTTACTATTATTATATCAATAGTGAGGAAAACAAAAGTTTCCTGCTTGCTGTGCTGTTAGGACGAACCGGGATTTCAGCCGCACGTCAATAGACGCCTATTCAGTTTTCCATTGCCGTACTGTGGAAAAGTTACACTGAATGCTTCCACGGGATTGTAGAGATGGATCATCTGAAAGACACACTTGTCTTTCAAGACCTTATGTACTTTGACAACATTTTCTGGGAATTTCGGTCGCTGCCCTTATTGCACTCTGATCGACTGTGACTTCATGCTGTTAACATACTCCACTGAACCGGCCTCAAGGACGCTCGTTAATACGACAAAGAAAACGATATGAACTCTTGGTCTATAGAAGCAGAAGAATCACTCTGCCGGTCTTCTGTTTATCGGAAAATATTACAGTGGAAGGTTGACCGATTGCGACTCAGGTTACTACTCAGTTACTACTCAAGACATATTGGTGGGTGAAGGTTTAGGAAGTTGAGCAGCTGGTGCTGACCCACTCCGATTATTAGCGGATCTAATCGGGTCTTTGGGTACTTGGACTTAGCTCAAAGTCTCTTTTGGATTATCAGATAATCCGGACTCTGCTTTCCATAACATAGGGTTCACCCCTATCGGCTTGCAGTGATGCAACTTAAGAGGTTAGCCAGCTCGACAGGAGAGCACACCGTAACCTCATTTGGAACGATCGGTTGAGGTACTTGGTGAACCTGCCTATAAGTGGCCGGAGAAATATAACTTAAGAGTTCGTATTGTCTGGAGTTACGGGATCACAACAGGCTTCTAGCAAAAAAAGTTCATGTAGCATACATGACGTTATCAACGTGTCACTCACCTTAATATGCAAACTTGTGCCTGTGCGGTTTGTGCGTTTGTGTCACTGGTTTGTTTTAGTGACAGTTTATCTTTACAAGATCTGTTTGGTTTTGTCCCGGTTGTCAACCAGCAAGGAATCTTCGATAAGGAAATCGAAGACTTCTCTGGAACTCATAAAGTCTGTTTGTGTTGCTGGTAAGCTTTTTTAGGCTCTTCTGCCAAACTATGGCTCGAGTTGGGCTTAGACAGTGCTGGGCGTTTCACCTCAGTTAGTTTTATGCTCCAAAGTCGAACTACTGTACTTATGATGTTTGTCTGTTCACAAAAGTGTTTCTAGTACCTCTAGTATCCTGTGTGACACTAATAACTGATTAGTTTACTGTAAATGAGTAGACCAGCATTTATTGGAAGCTTCTGTCTCACCGATGAATTTACTAACTCACTTGTTCATTCGTTCCAGGTTCCCTCGTCCAATCACTAAAAGAGCTGACTCAGCTGGCCAACTGCTTACGATCCAGCAGCTCAAGCGATTCAGAACCAGATAGTGGTTCTGGCTCATAGACTATTCTATATCAGACTGTCCTGATTGCCGGCTGTGATGTACAGTTGCTGTTGAAAAAAGTGGATTTTTTCCCAAACATTTGTATTCCTCTGAAGACTTAAAGGTCACAACATGAGGTGGTTCTGTGCATATGAATGGCTGGCTTACCAGTTAACAGTAGTAGGCGATTCGGGTTTGCTAAAGTTCCTTTAGTGCGAGACGCAGCCTTCTTTGTGCGTGGTTGAATAGTGACTGTTGAGTGTTTAGTGCCGCGTTGTAAACCGTTTCATTTTCTGGTGATGTTCAAACATTGGTAGCTCGGGTGGCTTTGTTGGCTGAGGATAGCCTATCGAATCGTTTGCGGACCAGTTGCCAAGCTCAGTGTACGCTAGCCGTCTCATTTGACTTTCGTGAAAATGGTGCATTCAAGACAGGTTCGACTGTCTATTGAATTTCGTACGTAAGTTAATCCTATTTCTAGCCAACATCTACTATCGGAATGTCTGCTGTGATCTCCGGTCAACATCTTCCGACTTCACGATCATGCTAAGGTAATCAGTATAAGGGCGAGGTGGACCAAGTGGTTAGAGCGCGAATTTACTGACCGGAAGGTTCGTGGTTCGAACCCGACCTCTGTCTCTCGACTTCCCCTGTGTAGGCTTGGGCGACCTGGCAGTATCTCAGCCCTCGTGTCCCTTTCATTTGGCATGGCAGTTAGGCACCTAAAGGCTGCTACAGCTGGACGATATTTTTTATTTATCAGTATAAGTGGTGATTGGTCTACTGATTTGCAGCCTTGTTATCCACTCCCACCTAAACGAATCGACAACTGGTATTATCCGGAGAGCAATAGGTTTATTTATCGAAAGAAATATGATATTCCGCTGAAAATTCGTGAAATTGACGGATGAGGTGTGTGCCTTGGAACTTATGTTCAGTGTTGTACTATCGTGCCCATGTTGCCTGATAGCACTTAACAGGCCTCTACTTGCTTGCCGGCTGAACTTATACCAGTATCAACAGCTTGAACAGAGCACCATATTCAGTTCCGCACAAACCGCTTGTGCTTTACCCACAATATGCAGGCTTTCCGTGGATCCAGTACCGGTGATCAGCACATCGGTTTCGGATGCGAGCAAACCACAAGTATGAAGTTTTCAAGGTAGGCCAGTATCTCGGGGTTCGCATAAGAAGTTACTCGTCATAAGAACTGATCACTTATCTGCCAAAAATGAGGATGTACACCCAACGAGTATTCAGAGGTGATGAATTTAAGAACGGAACCTGTCGTCTAGGTAGTGCAGTTCAGCGAAACTTTCCCAAAGTTGACTTGGTGTGCTTGCCAGAAAAGACTATTTGATTAGACCAGACTATTTACTATTGGTCAGTTGTCAGTATGCTATCCTTCTCAGATGCTCGGTGCAGGCTATAGCATTTGGATGGCAGAAACAAATGTTTAGACATAATACACTACTCATAAAGTTGCTGAAGATTCTCCCACAACCAACGACCGTTTTCGCCTTTTTTGGGGCTCATCAGGTAGGCGCAGTCCGCGTTTCCGTCAATCCCTATGTTTCACTTGAAACCACATTGCACGAAATCAGCGAACTACACTCGCTTGTAAACAAATTTGGTTTTGCGTGAGACTCACCTGGAACCTAGATGAGTCTGTCGTTTAGGTTTCTTAAATGGTCCTAGAAACAAATTTTGTTATCGGTAGAGTTTATGCGAGCATATATCAGACCCACCTGCCTATACCCGCTTGACTCCTGTTCTCCCCACAGCCTCGAAACCGCGTCACTTGAAATTTCCTTGTTTATCTCTCGTTCATAATCTCTACACCTATCTAAGTTTACTTCTGCAGTTTACAGTCGATTTCATGTTGAATGACTACAATAAAGGAAGGTTCCTCTCGCAGTACGAAATGATGCGGTTGCATTCAAAGTTCTATGTTTCTTACTTTTGTATGGTTAGTTTGCGATAGCCTTTTATAAACAATGCATGAAGTGGTGTACTTGCCCCAAACTGCATTAATTTATCAGTTTGGGTGCAATCAGCCTCGAATTATGCCGTGTTGCGAACCGTGAATAGGTGGCTCACAATGGTAAAGACTCGAGTTCTCGGGGATTGACTGCTTTAACCTTAGGTATTCTCAGATATTGCCTGAAATGAATTAGAAGTGGGTTTATCAGGAGTTGTTATGGGGAAGTTTGCCGCGATAAAGCCGCCAACGCTTCCCATGACTTTCAAGCAAAACTTTGCCTGATATGTCCACCATGGGATGCTCTATCAGTGTCGCATGTATAAGCGGCAAATCTCACGGCAGGTGTAGACAGGAGCTTGTCTACGCGATTTTCACAAACCCTCTGTTGTGCAAGTGTAGGCCAAAATGTGAGGTAAGAATTTGTCATTGACGCACACAGAAAATGAGCGACGCACGCCGTAAATCGCATCCCGAATGATTACTCACTTCTGCTGCAACACCACCATCAGTCGGATTTTCAATTAGTCGAATAAACCAAAGATGTGAAACATGGGCAACAACTTGAACGGTTGACAAACACTTAACACCATGTTTGATACCAAGCGAACAAAGATTTCCAAAACAGTGCATAACTGCCTAATAACCGGAAAGCTGTCTGTCTTAAGAGAACTCAGCTACAACACTGGCTTCAACACATTCGGGGCTGGTGTTCAACAAACGATAGCTACCGGTGAGCACGATCAGCGTGCGGTATCAATCACCCAGTAAGAACGAATAAGTGGTAATAGTAGTCCTAAACAAGGACTTACTAAGCAAACGCGAATTCGAAAACAATATCTCTAGAGGAAACTACTCACAAGGTTACTAAAAGCTCTTCGACAGCCCACGACCGGTTTCGTCCCTATTGGAGCTCGTCTTGTAGGCTCAGCCCCCGAGTTTCCGTCAACCTTATATTCTACTTGAATTCAAATTGCACTGTTTTCGAGAAATACACTCATTGCGAATCATTTTGGTTTCCACGAGAGACTCAATCGAATCTGTCGTGTATTCCACAACAAACGATAGCTACCGGTGAGCACGATCAGCGTGCGGTATCAATCACCCAGTAAGAACGAATAAGTGGTAATAGTAGTCCTAAACAAGGACTTACTAAGCAAACGCGAATTCGAAAACAATATCTCTAGAGGAAACTACTCACAAGGTTACTAAAAGCTCTTCGACAGCCCACGACCGGTTTCGTCCCTATTGGAGCTCGTCTTGTAGGCTCAGCCCCCGAGTTTCCGTCAACCTTATATTCTACTTGAATTCAAATTGCACTGTTTTCGAGAAATACACTCATTGCGAATCATTTTGGTTTCCACGAGAGACTCAATCGAATCTGTCGTTTATGGTATTCCACAACTGAATGTGCTGCACACAGGGCGCCTCATGATTCAGTTGGCACGATATTCGAGGTATCGCAGCATATTTTCATAAAGGAAACTACTCTAGAGGTTTCAGAAGGATTTCGCGTCTGCATGCAGACTATTACAATATAGACCCACATATTAAACAAAGAGAACTGTTGTATGGCTTTAAAGCTAAAGACACCCATTCGAGAGTGCTATGACCCCTCGAAAATTCACGAGTCTCTTCAGCATTGTCTAAGCCGCGCAGTGAATATGTCTTCACAGGGTCTTGATTACGGCAAGAGGACCTCAGTTGGTCTTCAATGACCACTCATTTTGACTGTTTTTACGAAACCATCCGCGAAATTGTTGACTGGGATTGATATCCCTAAGACATTGCTTGGAACAAATCCCAATCCACAATCCATCGTAGGACATCTGTAGGGCAACTTGTAAGCTACTCAAAACAAAACAGCCTGCGAAAACATGGTACAAAGGGTCTTTGCCACCACCACAAAGAGGGATCAAGGTAAATCAAGGTCTAAAAAGCATTTTGCTTTACAATGACCAAAGGATATTGGTGTGTGTGTGTATGTATACAGATAAACGGAATGATATGACATATATGTTCTATTGTTTGTAATCTGCATCTCAAATGTTGATGAGGGAAGTTGGGTGAGATCTTATGTATTCGTCAAGCGAATGTTTGAAAGTCTCGAGGTTACCACAATCCACAACAGATGTTGGTAGTTTGTTCCACGTGAGGGATACGCGGACTGAAAAAAAGTAGCGCCGACAGTTAATGCGGGAACATGGAATGTCAACGGCCAATGAATTCCGTCGGGTCTGTCGGGCCAAATTAACTGTGAACAAATGTTTTAAAGGGTGATTAGGGGTGTTTATTATCTTGAACATCAGGATGAGGTCTCCTCGTATACGCCGATAAGTTAAAGCAAACAAATCGAGTTTACGTAGCCTTTCACTGTAGGGAACGTTTCGGAGGCCAATGACCAGCTTGGTCGCGCGGTGGTAGGTACGCTCTAGCAGTTGTGTATCCTTTTGCAGCCATGGAGACCAGGCTTGGATCGCGTATTCCATTGTCGGTCGGAGATATGTGTTCATGATAATAGGGATCAACTGTGAGACCCCGTTAATCTTGGAGGTCCATTTTTTGGGATGAATTGTGACAAAGTTAAGTAGACTGTTTAATTTTCAAATACATCTGCTGTTTTTTCTGAACTCATCTGGAACCCCTTTCCCGCACATTGTACAATATGTACAGAATGCTATCAGTGATCTAAATACCGGTTTTTTCGCGATTTTTCATTAGTTTACACTGGATTATTTATTGGGTTCAGAATCATTCCGTTGGTTCTTGGGATTTGTTGCTTCATCTTCATTGTTTGATTGATCACCTTCAGATTTCCTCTTATGCAAATAACATGATCAACGTCAAAGCAGAAGACATTAGTTCCCTGACAGACCGATGTTGGTATATTGGTCTTCTTTGGTTTTCGATGATTAGAGAATTAGCTGTCATCCTTTAGCCTAGTATACCACTGAATTTCAGTCGGTGTGGCAAGCTGCTGTTCGAAACGAGCCTGACTTTTCAGCACACCATGCAAACTAACCGATCCCACACCGATAAGTTCATCAGCTTCGAACGTTTCACCTCTTTC